GAATTCCAAACCACAAACAATTTTAAACATTTCAAAATGACACATTCCCCACCCCCACCCCATGGAAAAATACCTGTGCGGAGCTAATCTTGAGAGATAAATCAACTGTTATTTTTTCCCTATTTAGCAAAGCTTAATCCTCATTAATGAAATGTCCTCTATTTGTAAGGTTGATAAGTACAAAATTTAAGTGCATGCTATTTGTAGCAGAAATAAATAAATTACTTATCAGTCTGAAACAGGTCAATCCTTTTAAACCAGAGGGCAAAAAACACCCCAGATCAACAACCTGTTACACTTAAACTCCCTGACAAAAAACAGGTTTAAAATTTCATTTGACACACACAGATGGATGCTAACTCCAAACGATTCTTTTTTTAGTTTAAATGTTTAGTATTCTTACTTAATGTTATATTGATAAATTGGAAAATATTCCCGGGGCATTTGCTCTAGAAGACATATCAGAAGACTAGCAGGAAATGTGGTGCTCTGATTTAAAGCCGTCAATGTGCATGCATGGTTATCAACAGTGGTTGTGCATCTTTTAATCAAGCACTGTTTTCTCCATTTAAAAGTGGTTCATGAGCAGAAGGATCACAGTTGTAGCAACACTTGATTGTGCAATGTCCCGATTCTGTGCCACACTGTCCTAATGTAGTTTTTTTCCAACCTTGCCTGTCTCTAAATTTGTCAGGACTTTCATTAACAGCCATTCTTACTGTACAGAAAACTCATAAATGACCCTTTCAAAACCATTAGTTGCTATTCATAATTTTAAACCTATGTTCAAATATCAAAGTCTATAACATTAATCCTACACCATCAATAATTAGACAATGGTCATCTGATGTTTGTGCACAAAGAAAGCAATCCATTGTACCCCTTAGCTTGATAATAGTGATGACAAATGGAAAACACTATTGTCACATTTTAATTTACCTTAAAACTCTCCTATGTCCAACAATCAGTGCTTAATCAACGGTGAATCTTACTTGGTATTTTGCACACAAAAATCAGTAAACTTAAATGTTTCATAAACAAATGAAATGTAATTTTAAATGTCCCAATTAATATGTTTCACATCAAGATATTCAGTATGATAGAAAATGTACAATTAACCTGGTACCACATTTATGTTCTGTAATGTAATGCATCACACCTCACTATAACCCTGGATGGTTGGCATACCTACAACAATTTTAGGTCACCTGAATAATGACCTTTTAAATGTTTCACTCTGCCAGGACATTAAAACCTTATTATTGCTAATGTATTTACCATTGATCATTTTCAAAGGTGTTATATAACCAAATATCACCAATGAATAACCTTTTAAAGGTTTAACATTGCCTTTGTTGTATTTGGGCTGTGATTCAAGTTTATCAGTTTAAAAAGGTCCAGTGGGCAAGAACGTGTCTGCATAAATAGAACCGAAGAATAGCAGATTGCAATGACAATACTTCTCATCTCAACCGTTCCGAACTTCATAAAAACAAGTGGCCTACTACAAAATGAACTATGTTCGTTCTGAACATTTAAAATACATAAAGCACTTTGACTAGTTTGTACGTGCCCCAAGGTGATGAATTTAAGCACAGTCCCTTTGGTAAGAACATAAAACTTTGCTGCATTTCTAAATGAAAAGCTTAAAAATGACCACTTAATTTGAAAGCAAATTATACACACTGAAATGTATATTCTATTAATATAGTTAATACAACTAATTTATTACCCACTGGCAATTGTGGTTGGGGTTTGGAAAAATATTTAGACTGGGTCCAAAAGACCTTGTAAAAAATATATTTTTTGGCTCCAATATTGGAAAAGAAAATACTATATACAATTAACATGAAGCGCAAAATGTAGTTAATTATTCAATACCCAGATGCAATATCACCACTAAAACATTTGATTCAATATCTTACTTCAGCAACCATATATAGCTGGTGCAAATTGACGCTTTAAAAATGCACAGATTAAATCAAAAATGTGTGCATTTGTCAATGTAAATTAAAACCCTCATCAAGAGAAAATGCTGCACTTGAGCACAACAGTACAATATACCAGAAAGCCATGCTCATGGTTTGTGCCTATTAGTCATTAGAGTCCAGTTAAGTTTCAAGAATATACATAACTTGCAACCACCAATGCTGTTCTTTTTCCTTAAGCAATTGAGAGTGTGGATTAATGAACCGTAGTGTAAACCAAAATTACCTGATAGGTGTTGTCAAAAGGAGGTATGATTCCCTAAATTCAATTTTTACCCTAAATACATTTCACATTTCCTGCTTAATCTTGACTTCCCAAACATTCTGTTACCCTCAAGTCAGAATTCTTTACCCTATTATTTATGCACAGGTCTCTGGAAATAGACTTAAATTTATGAAGGAAACAAACCTCTCTTACCTTTGGCCTAATGAGAGGCAGGGTTGAGAGAGGTCAACATTTATGCAATGCAGACACATAACTACCCTTTCACAGTACTCAGATTAAGATTTGTGGAATTACAAAATCAGAGTGTTTCCACTTAAAAAAATGCAAGTAGAGATAATTAGCAATCTTAACTGACCACAGCTACTGTTTCTACAAGAATCTCTCTCAGCCCTGCCTCAGCTAGCCACTGTACCTGCTGAGTTAAATGTTTGAGTTTAGGAGCAGAAGAACAACACTTACCCCATACCACGACCCATTCCTCCACGGCCACGCATCAATCCACCGCGTTCAAAGCCATCTCTGCCAGGGCCTCTGCTGTCCCCGGACCCTGGGTACCTTGAAGACTCGGCACCAGAGTACCCAGAACTTCCACCTGGACCATCCTGTCTGTAATTATCTAAAAAGTAGTAATCAGAATAATGAGTCATATGTTGAAGAAAACAGCATGAAAAGAACTATAGAAGCAAACAAGACACTTAAAAACTAAGTAAATCTTACTGTAATGATTGTTCTGATTGTAACTTGGTGGTCCACCTTGTTGTCCATACTGGTTAGCTGGAGGCTGCCCATAAGCACTAGCAGCCTGGGGGGGATAGGAAGGAGGAGCCTGTTGCTGCGGCTGACCCTGTGGTTGGCCATAGCTTGCCTGCTGGGCTTGATACCCTGTCTGTTGTTGCCCGTATCCTGCAGGCTGGCTATAGCTACTTTGACTGTAGGCAGCTGACTGTCCATTAGCATTGTAACTATTGAAAAGATGTGAAAGAGGGTACACCTTTTAACATATCTGACTTACGTTGTAATGCGTTACTTAAATGGACTATATATACCTCTGTGGTGTAGTAGGAGCAGCCTGCTGGCCATAACCAGGGTATGCAGATTGAGGAGTATATCCTGGCTGTGAGCCATAAGACTGTGAAGCAGCTGGTGCAGCTGCAGCAGCAGCTGGAGTACTGTCATATCCACTGGTTCCATAACCTGTAGTTGACTGAGAATAGCTTGGAGTGGTAGACTGCGCAGCAGGATAGCCAGCTGGAAGGAGTATACAATACTTGATTAAGATGTCATCAAACATCAATTAGACCAAATCCAACATATTAAAAACAAAGACTAATGGAAAGTTTGAATCAATGACATTTTCCTTAGCTGAATTTTGCAATACTTATAAATACTTTTCTTGTTTACCTGAAGCTGGTTGGCCATAAGAAGTACCATACTGTTGTTGCTGCTGAGGATAGGCTCCTCCAGCTGGGGTTGTCTGGGTGTAACTGCCATCAGCGGTAGCAGCAGGTTGGCCATAAGATCCATAATTCTGCTGGCCATAGCCTTGCTAAGGGTTAAGAACAAAATAAATTAACACTGACATATCTTGGTTGAACCTTGTGAAACGTATTAGCATTGTTAGCAATACAAAAACTTTGACTCTTCTTTCCCAATTTTGTTCAAAATGTAATTACATATAAGCAGTTCACCAACATGCTCAACTAGTTGGTTTAATTGAGTCTTACCTGTCCAGACTGTCCATAACTTTGTGAGGGTTGGGCAGCATAAGTCGCATACCTGAGAACAATAAGACAGTCAGAAAAATTGTGAAAATGTACACATAGTAACTCTCAGAGGGCAACTATGCATATTTGAGATGCTTTTCAAATGTACATGCTCAAATTTCTGATATTACATTTCACACCAACTGAATTGGGGAAGTAGCTGAATGTTTGATGTAGATGCCCAATGAAAGTTATGCTATAGGATTACCATTAAACAGTAAAGACGTCAATCACACACAACTCTGTATAGTGCCATCTCCTATACTGCCTAAGCCCACCTTTTTAAAAACTTACATAATCAACACTCTGTCGTGATTTACAAAAACACTTTCTGATTAAAAGCCCTAAGCCAATACTATAGAAAGTACAAATGTTCAAATCAAATAAGAATTACCCTAATTCCCCACACAAGGAGCTGCTTTAATAACTGGTAGCGCGCCCACCCCACCCCCCAGCTCCGCTAATTACTAGGAACGATGAATTTCTTTCATAGTGTTGGGTGTTTTTTTTTTTTTTTATCTTAATACGTTTAAACTATTATCCGGATAATAATAAAAAAGTCACTTACCCCTGCTGGGCGCTGGTCTGGTTGTAAGAGCTGTAATCTGTGAAAGCACAGGAAACACGTTGTTAGCTCAAACAAAGCGCCATTTGCGCGCCAGCCATTATCCGAACTCCAAAACATTTGACTTAAAATTAACCGAGAGCGTTTGAAGCAGGAACAATACCTATACATGCGACTGCGAAATACATTTATTTAAGATAAATGTTCGGTAAACATACACGTTCACTCACATATGAACCGACTGAAACCGCCTCAACGGCTCGAGCAGCCAATATGACTAGGCCGTGGTTTGCCCTAGCAACGTTACACGGTATTTCACTTAATATTGATGCAAAATGTGTAATATGAAATGAAAATGTGAAAAACCCGCGTGTTACAGTGTTAAGTCTTGGTTACATGCAGTAAACGATGCTGTATCCACACAAATATTAGTTTTCTTTACTCACCCTGTGTCGACGCCATTTCACCGCTTGCGAGCTAGACGACTGAACAGAGAGGAGACAGCTGCAGAGGAAGGGTTCTTTTCTACTGCGGGATCAAGAATTGTCGCGAGATGTTCTATTACTACCCTAACTGGTTTGAACTAAATAGGGATATTTCGGAATTAAATAAGGAATACGGCGTTTAGAGTTAGGTTTCTGATTCGTCTTTATCGGTCATGTGATTATTTTTTATTTATGATTTCCAAAAGGTTGAACGAGACAGTTGACATCTCATAATTAAACTGACTGTAAGTAGTGGTTTACGTCTACAAGTCTACATTTTCTTTTTAAATATTCCCTCCCATAATTATTAAATTGCTTTAAAAGTAACATGGAACCTTTTGTCCTTTAATGTGATTTTGGTTGTTAGTCTTTAGTGATAGAAATATTAAGTATATAATATTAAAACAGAAATAATCATAGAAAAGCCATATTGAATATGTGAAGTAACAATAGCTATCATAAATAGCAAATTTTTGCAATTTACGTCTTACGTCTATCTTACATTGAGCCTTTCAACTTACCTGCAGTAATACTACTGTCCTGAGGGTGTCAGTGAAGAATCTTAACGTAATTTCCGGCCTTAAATAGTGTCAAAGAAGATTTTCGTAACAGGAAGTGTTTTTAAGACTAGTGTTTTTATTTTTTTCTAACGTCAATACTTTGCCATTTAACTATTTAAATGTGTTGTGTAAACACACAGCGAGTACTAGAATAGCTGATATTGCTGACTACATGTCGAGGTATAAACAGAGAGGTGTCAGACAGTATCCGTGACAGGACAAACTACAGATGATCTCCCCATCATGTTAAGTCGTATGTTCTCGGTGTGGTTCTGGTATGGTTCAGATCGCCCTGGATTCTGTCTGGGGACGTGTTTATGGACGCTACTCATACTGCTAATGTATGCCGGGGGTCTCGAGGCTAGTCTCAGTGTGGGTCCTGGTGGGGAGTTCCCAAGATTCAGAGGTAACTGTTCCTTATATTTCCGTACTCAAAACTAATATATTTTCAACTTAAATACTTCAACGACCAAATTTTCCAATTCTAATTCATAGACATCATCTCCTACCTCTGATATTATACAGTATGTTGTCAGATGTATCACGCTTATTTCTACGACCTGTCCACGTCCAACGAGTTATATAGGCCAAAAGCCCCCTGATCCATAAGACATAGGCTGATCAGGTTTCGGGTATGCCACCTTAGACATCCCAGGTCAAAAATAAAAAAGTGTATGGAGATGTAGAAAGGGGATTCCAGTTGTTTCATTATTGAATGTTGACATTTGAAAAGTGTTGGTAAATGAAGGAATGAGGCCCTTGTTCTCCTTTTTCTCCACAGATGTGTTCCTGTATGCCCTGAGTCACGATGACCCGTCCTCTCTTTTAGTGCTCTACTGTTGCTTTTTGGTCAATGTCAGGAGCAACGCTGGGGAACAGTAGCCTACCTCTCCCTCTCCATCCTGACGATGAACATTATACCTCTGCTCTACACCTTGGTCCTCTTCATAGGCAGTGGTGAGGAGAGTAGGTTCTGCGGTTACTCTGCCATCCAGCTAGCTCTGTTCACAGCACATTGTCGACTGGTGACACAGAAGAGGGTGCTGAGGTGTTTGCCAGTCTGGTTTCTACCCTGGACTATTCTGCTGACTGGTTTGCTGCTGCTGCCAGGAACACCTGCCCTGCTTCACTTCTGTGCAATATGCATTGGCCATAATTGTATCCTTTTCTTATTACAAACAGTTCTTTGCATAGTACATTTGAGATCAAGGACTGATCATTCAATATTTGATTGATTGATAGTGGTTATTTGTTTATTTTTTAATTTAAACTCCAAGTTATGTGTAGATTTACACATTTATTACATTTACAAAAGAAAAAAACATGCTGAAACACTGTCCTGTCTAATAATAAACATCATATGCATAAATAGCCATAAGGGACAGTTTTTATTGAAAGTGCCATTACCTAGTGTCTTTATAACAATATGCTTTCATATAAAAAGCAAAGATCTTTCATTAGGAATTTTTAAATATATTTCCTTAACACACCTTTTAGACAGGCAGCCTTTTATTGCTACACTACAAGAGCTTGAAGACACCAGTCTTTTGGAGTTTATTCCCAGTTGGGCTTATGTTTCCACTTCAGCAAGATTCAGATTGCCAACATTTACTACTACGTCACACAGGTGTACTTCATCACTCTTAAAATCCAAATATGTCTTATTCACTATAGATTTTACAATTTCATCCTTTTGTCCTTTTGTCACAGATCTGGAGCACATTCTGAGATCATGCCTGTAAATCTGGCAGCTGCTGCTTCCTGGAGAGATCATCTTTTATTGGACTCACCTGCCTGGATGATGCAGGGGTCTGCTGCTGTTGCTGAGGCAGAGGTGCTGGAAGAAGAGATGCTAAGGGCAGGGATAATTGCTTCATTACAGGATCGTCCCGAACACCCTGATGCCAAAGTGGAAGTTTCTAAATCATCAGTTTCTTCCTTGCGGTCAGTAAGAGAAAACCACTTGGTAAAGTAATGTGTTTATTTAAGTTATCATTAACATGGAAACCCCAATGTTTTCTTCAGACTCCAACAGCTAGAGAAGATGGGTTTCCCCACAGAGAAAGCTGTCGTAGCATTAGCTGCCTCCAAACAGCTAGATGGCGCCATTTCGTTGCTTATTGATGACCGCATTGGAGAGGAGGCTGTGATGGTTTCAAAGGGAAGGAATTCCGTGACACCAGAGTGGGCACAGAGAACCTGACACTACTGGAAAGACTGAAGCAATAAATGCATTTAGTGGACACAGCAGTGGTCACTTATTGCTTGGGTTTTTTCTGAGCTTTGTTTCATTATATTTTCCCTATGGGGTTTTAATTGAGGATTAACCGAGTCCCTCTTTTGGTTCTGAGTCTATTATAAAATGCACATTTGATAGAGTGGATACATTTATTTGCATTGTATTGATGACAAATGAACATCATTGTGACACAAATAAATGTGACATTTTGTAAAAAAGGACAAAACAGGACATTACTTTATTACACCAATCATTTAGACACGATTACCTTATAATATACAGTAACACGTTTGCAAGAAAGTATGAAATGGTTACATAACAGTGTACAAAAAAACTACAATTTGATAATTTTAAATAGTTTCACAATACACTTATTAGGATAGGAAAAAATCAGTATACAGTATACGCAGTCTATATTACCAATAGAGCAGTGGTAAAACACTTGAGTTCCACAAACAGTTTTCCTTCTCTTTGCGTGTTTATCATATTTCATTTCAATGCATTTTGACTATAAGTAGAATCCACTGATCTACAGTCGAAACGACTGCAGATATCTGGCCATTGTTTACAGATGTTGGTAAATTATTGTGACTACAGTTGAGGAAACTCTGGAAAACCTATTAGGAAAAACAAACAAGACTAACTACAGATCACTGTTAACAACACAGATCAGCGGAGAGAACCTAATCTTTAGAGCACTACATTATATTTAACACTATGACATAAGAATAAGAAAAATATTATTAGAAAATGAAGTTTATTAATATAACCATGTACTTGAACCTGTACATTCTCGATACACTTAAATAACGTAACTTCAGATGGCACTTGTGTTGCAAAAGCAACACAAACCAAACCAGTCGGTTTCCCCTCACCTGATAGTTCCTTCAGAATATTACCGTACTCTAAATAACCCCAATTGCCCAGAAGATTTAGATTTCTTTTAAAGTCATTGAACAGAGTCTGAAGCTTTAGCTCAATAACCAAAGAAAAAGCAGACACAGAAGATGGTGCTGAGTGTATGTGGAGACCCTTGTTATGGAAACAGGTGGGGGTCAAGATAGTTCTCAGGATCCTGATAGAAGAGGAACATTGTGGGTATCATTAGAGTTTCCCTGAGGTGCCCCCATCCCAAATCTGACAATAAAGCCCAGAGAGGGCATCAGTTAAGATCTTAATCTGTAGAGTGAGGATGAGACCATAAGAAGGCAGAGTGAACCCAGCCTGTGATCCTCAGAGGGAATAGGGGAGCTACTTTCCTCGAACCTTGGTGTCGGAGGACAGAGGTGAAGCAAGTCGATATGGAAGCACACCTGCTCGTTTATCTCTGTAGAAACTAGGGGAGCTTGTGCCAAACGGTCCATCTCCAGACCCTAGATCAGGCTCTGTTGAAGAAAGACAGTAGTTGGAAAGGGGCCACCCTGTCCGGCGCTGATACTTCTGAACTCTGTTGGCCTAATTCATGGCTGCTACAGTGTATGTCATAAAAAAAAAAAAAAAAAACAGTTACTTTTTTAACTGTTCAGAATAATTAAAAAAAAACTGTCATAAATGATACAATGCTGCACATTTATGGATTGATGTTAGGAAAAAACATCAGCCTTTTAACAGCAGGAAACCTTAGGTTTTCTACTAATAAGGCCTAATAAGGTATTTCATACTTCCTTGGTTGCATTTCTAATGTCAAGTAGTGCTGTAACAAAGAGAAGTGGCCTCCAAATTAAATTTTTCAAAGTGGACCTGTTGCTGTTGGTCTGGACTCCATACCAACTGCCAATTCCAGGAACTGAATCCAGTCAGTTTTTCATACAAACCTAAACCCCTGCTCTTACACAGGTTATAAGAGCAGAAAAAAAAAAACACATGCTGTATATATGAATAAGAGTAGCTCAGTGTGGAGAAAAACATTTCCATATTTAGGAAGTTTCTGCAAATATCTGTTGTGTCATTAGGCTATAGATAATCACAATCAGAAGAGTTCATTCATCATATACAAAGGATTTCTTAAACACACTACTTCACTTCAGACACAGTTGACATCATACAAACTATCCTGCTAACGCTCAGTCATGATGTTTTTAATAGAGTCAGTAGGGGGCCAGCAGATCAGTGAGTGAGGGAGTGTCAGTTTTACCTGGCCAGATGATAGCCTCCAGCAGTGTCACCCTGCGAGCCAGAAGCTCCAGGTCTGCCTGTAAGTCCTGGAACATCTGCAAGCTAATGTCCTATCAAAGAGCAGTGACAAGTGGACTGTGTGAGGGGTGGAAACACCAGCCCGAGTCCTGGGGCTCGTGCTCGTGACTGGTCCAACTCCCTGTCCTTTTGGTGAGGTACGGTGGGAGTTTGAATCCCCACACCCCCTCACTTTTGACCCCTGCCTAAAGCTGACCCTGCCTCAGGCCTCCTACTCACCATGAATACCGTTCATAGTCTCAAGGATTAAAACTCTCTCGGCTAAGATCTTCAGCGCCTCTCTGATCTGATGTATTCCGTCCCCCTGTGAAGATAGATACAGCCGTCAAGGTAAAGAGCACAAGCCAAAGAACTGCTCGCCAAGATGCAAAGGCAATGTTCACTACACAGTTCAGCAGTTAGAAGGTTAAAACATACAGTCTACACATCTGCCCAGCACTTAACACATGATCTGTTCACTGTTTCTCTCTCTACATTCCTCACTCTGTGGCCATGCTGCTCAAAGTCACTCTGTCATGCTGGGCTGGGCAGCATCAGCATGCACTTCACACACCAGCCTCATGTCGGTGACAAAACACAGGTGAATTACATTCTCACAGGGTTTTAAAAAAAATAGAATCATGCTATTTGCATTCCTTCTGGCAGGAAACAGTTAAGCCAGGCAATTATGACTTTCATTATTATTTCTGTAGAATCACAGCCTTCATTCTTAATGCTGTTGTCAAAAAGGCCTACTTTTTATTTGAAACAATAACAGATGTCGTTGTTTTTTTAAAGCTAGTCTTTCTTATGTTACAAAGTAATGTATTGGCTTTATATGTCAACACATAAAAACACAGAAGTCAGAGAACAAGACAGGAACAGCAGACAAGTTCAACTGAGAACATCAATGTTGCAACAAAAGCATGCAGAGAGGAGTTAGTGTTGATGTGAAATATTCTGTAAGAATCAAAATTCTTACTATTCTGATTAGAATTACAAACAAAGGACAGAGTTAGTGGGTAAAGAAAAAGGCAAAGTAACATTTACTGATTACATGTTTTTGAATAATGTCCATGACTGTGTTCTGGAATTACACTTAGGTGTAAAAAGACTGGACACTGTAATCGTGAAAATTGTTTTCGTGCCAGTAAACCGGCAGCAGCTGTACGAATCTGCAGACGCCAACTGTTACTCATCACGCCTTGAACCAGCGATGTGCTTCTGTTTGTTGGATGTAAACATGTGACACTGCTACAGCTGTCTAGTTTAACATAAAAACAACTCTCTGTTTTTGACTAAAATGTGTTAAAGGTTTTTGGGGAAAAAAAACAGCTATTGAAGGGCTACAAATCATGGAATTATGCAAAAGTAACCCATCAGTAAACTTTGTTGGACCAATAGATTTGTGATCTGGTGAGGTGACCTGATGCAACACTGCCCTTTGCATGTATTTCCTTCTTTTACTCTTTACTTTTACAGTTGTTGTTTTTTTTTTTTTTTTTGTTAGTGGAAGATAGAACCAGTAGATGGCTGTTGTGCAGCCTAAAGGAAGACCATAACAATTAAAACTTTTGTGAGGCAAAAACATAAACTCTCAAAGTTTTAAACCGTGCTGTTTGGACCACCAGGGGCAAGGACTGAGTACAGTAACTGTAGTGCTCTGATCAACTAAGCTAAGATGCTAAGGAGCTAGCTAAGATGTGGCTATTATGAAGTAAAATTATTTTAACAGTGGGTAATCACTAGTTTTAAAGGCTAAATTATTTATTTTTTACCTTTATGTACAACTAAGTTTTTTTAAGTGAATTATTTGTCATTGTGACACATTGCATTTACTAAAAATAAAATAACTACATAAATACTGGAGCTTAAAGGACATCCAGTAATCACAGAAGGTGGATCATGCTGATTTAGACAATTATAGCATTTCTAGTTCTAACATTTGTGGTTTTTTATTAACTTGAGATGCGGAAACTACAAATATTAAGACGAAATGATTGATTTCAATAACTGTGGGAAAATGTCTTTCCTGCTG